GACGACTTTGAGGAACGCAACGAGTCCTCAGTCCGACCTTGCACGTGGTACATTCCCAGACCTTTCGTCGGCATCGTCAATGCGTCTTGTCAGTCTTAGCAACACACAACAACTCGTCAAAGAGGCCAGACGCAAAGAGCCTCGACCACAGGGTCGTTCAGTTCACTTCCGCAAGACGTCTTTTGCCCCTCAGCTGCAAAGAGACCTTGATCCATCCGGCTTCGAATCATGGTCAAGTGGCCACATTGCGTCGTTATGCAACATCTCACCGTCTCTGTCGACTAGCTTTCAGGCATTCTCTCCTCTCATTCTTCGTTTATAAGTCGGTTTCGAGGCTACCAATTACCGCGCAGTTCAGCTGAGGGAAACGCAACAGAAACAAGACTCCTGATCGCCTTAAAAGGAGTAGAGTGAATCCATTTCACTAATGTGATCCTCTCTTCTTCTTGCCCCTCCCCCCCACCCTCCCGGCCGTCCCTCCACAATCACATGCATCCATATTCCCACCACACGGCATTGCTCCACTTTCGAATGGACACCGCGGCCAACCGGTCATTCTTTCGTCCCAGTCCTGCGCATCCCCACCGCACGTCTGAGAGTTGCAGCGCAGCAGAAGCATTCCGGCCGAGCGAGGAGCCGGTGGGATGATCCGGTTCTTGCGAGCCGCTCGACTGTGAATGCAACGATGCTCTTGTGCAGCGTAGAGCACAATTAGTCGGTGCCAGTGAGTGGTACGTCTCCTGTCCCACCAACAAGCCGTCGAATCCGAGCCGCGACCTCGCATCCCCACTTCCTGAGGGTGCTCTGACCAGGGCTTACTGGCCAGGCAGCAACACAACAACAGAACAGAGGTCCGATCGCACTTTCTGCCGTTGGCTAGTTGTTGGTGGGCCAATTGTCGATTGCCGCTAACTTCGACACGACTACTGTTCACACAGTGAGTAGTATTCGTAATTTTCCGCAGACCCCAGTCGGCGATGGTGACGATGGGGAAACCGCAGTCAGGCCATGTGGCCACTTGGATTCGCACCCCTTCAACCGGCCTCACGTGCTTTGGCTCCGCATGGCAACAGCATGCTCGAAACCGACCTGATCGGCACATGACTCGCACAATGTGGAAGAGGTAGCGTGTCGGGCTGCAACTGGTCGAAGTGGGGAAACGAGAGTATTCGACGAGAGCAGCAGAGCGTTAGTGCTACTTGAGTGGGAAACATGACTTGGCGTCAAGCCGACAACTTGTGACCGGCTGACCCACGCACTTTGGCAAGCGGTTAAGCTTGCACTAAACATTCAACTATGTTGTGTCCTTCATTCATTCTTTAACTATTTACATTTAATCGCAGGAGGCGCTATATACACATGTTCAACCTATGCCGGCTAGTGTGCACACTCACACACACACACACACACACACGCACACTCAAATAAAAAAAGATGTATGCATGTATTGAAGCATCGTTAAGTGCTTGATGAGCTGTTCCTGCTGAGGTGTCTTAATCTCTTGCTGCGTCAACACTCCATCTTCTTTCAGTGGTTACAGGTACCCTTGTTGCCGGCTCGTTGAACCGCTCCGGTCGTCATTTTGTAGGCCTGTAAACAGGCACACAAATAAGTGTATAAACAGACACGCATTAAGCATTGTTGGATCGAGGTAGCGAGGCTGTGTGACAGTCATTGTGGCATTGGTGCCAAGGCCAAGTCATGGGGAGCGTAGGAGAAGTGAGGGGGGGGGAGAACTGTCCCGCAAAGGGAATAATTAGTCTTTTGTTTATATAACTAAGACAGCTCTATAATCGTTTGTTATAGCACAGCCAGATCGCATTTGCTTGTGCATTGAATATGATTCATTTTCACATTTATGATGCTTTTTCGACTGTTTTTGATTAGACTTGCAAATCAGTTGTTGCCATTCAATCTGATTTATTCCATTGTGGAACAGCAAAACCAAATATAAATCGTAGATACGAAGAGAAACTTGGTC